TGGGAGATGGTAGTTCAGTGACAGCCTCGGATTGCATATTTAACTCTTCAGTACATAGAAGATAGTAGAAGTCATCCAGTCCAATTGGTTGGAGTTGAGATCGAATGGCTGTCTTAAAGGCATTGTATGCCGGTGGTAACCCCTTAAGAGTATAGAGAATGATATCAGCAGAGTCAATGGTCGAACCAGCAGCTGTTATCGCATCAACTTTCTGTTTGATGTCAGATAAGTATTGAACCATGGTTTTATCTCCCTTGTGCAGGTTATGAAGCTCACTCTTCAATTGAAGTTGTTTGGAGGGATTAGTTAATTGAAGCCGACGTTGAATGGTGGTCCAAATGGCATGACAGGATGGTAAATTAAGAACATAAGGGAGTAGCGAAGGAGAAATGGTAGCATATAGAGCAGAGGCTAAGTTCTGATTGATCAATTTCCATGTCTGATGAAGCGGGTTGATGCAGGTAGAGCCATTAGAGGCCAGAATCTGGAGTGGAGGTTCAGTGGTGGAACCATCCAGATAACTTTCAAAGCTGTTGGCAGAAAAAGAGTGAGAATTTGAGCTTTCTAGATTGGATAGTTGTCGGCAGTGAGCTGTGTACTGAGTACAGTTTTTACATTCATCATGAGAAACTTGAGTTGAGCAGGAATGAGTGGCTCGGTCATTGTGACTGGTTGAGGAGATGTTGGAGTTGGAGTTAGAGAAGATGCTGATGAGTCCATTGGAATCAGTCAGCTAGCAGACGCCGAACCTGGCTCTGATACCATGAAGAAGTTCGTCGTCTTCTAGTGCGAGAACCTGCATTGAAGAGTTAGAGAGCATAGTAGAGAACAGAGTAATTGGAAATCATATGGAGTAAAGCCATTTGTATTCCTCTCATATTTTGAGCTACAGTAAATGATATTTGTAGGATAGTGGGAGAGGCAGGTGGAAAGATCGTCAGGCTGGGTTGATCCGTCGACTTGCGTAAGTGTCACATACATTGGGAGAGTGTGGATGACAGGAATTCCGGGTTGAACCAGGGTCATGCTCGGGTTTTCGGGTAAACCCAGACCCGACCCGATTTTTTAAAAAGGTCGGAAATTGAGACCGTTACTCGACCCGAACCCCAAAAAAATTGGATCGGGTTCGTGTTAATTTTCCGTGGTGTGTCCATTTTTGACAGACTTATGTTTGATTTTTTTTTTATACCTTTTTTGTGTGCGTAAAAAATTGTCAGCTTATGCAAATAATTGTGGTATGTACATGCAAGAAAATATTCAGAGAGTACTTGATATACATCTGAATTCATAGCTCAAAAGTTTGTTGATGTGCTAGCAATTGAGGAGAAAGAAAAATATTGAAAAGTTATATCTATTCACATGAAGCTTCTAATTTTTTTTTTCTCTTGGCCTCTCTCTCTCCCCCTCTATTTCTTACCTCTCTCAATATCAACTCATCAAAACTTTATTTAAATCATTGGTGTAGAAGGATACTATATTTAAACATGAGAATATATAAACTTCAGAAAAAAAAAACAATAAAAAATATAATCAATAAGAACATTATCAATAATATTGTTATTGTACATCCAAACATAAAAAAAAATTGGGTTTAACTCTTGTCAGTCTATTTCAAGTAAGTAAACTCAATTCAAATCAAACTAATTCAGACTACTAGATTTCAACACAAAAGATACTTTCTAGTCTACAAGAAAACTAATATCAAGTAAACAACTATGATATAAACATTCATCCAAATCATACAAGTACGACCCATTAGTTAGCCTTGAGGAGTATGATCTATGAAATCAGGCCTGATGACTACTCAATGAATGACGATTAGGGGTGTCAATTTTTGGCACGACCCGAAATCCGACCCGAAGCCGACCCGGAAAAATTCGGGTTCGGGTTGTCAATTTTTGGCACGACCCGAAATCCGACCCGAAGCCGACCCGGAAAAATTCGGGTTCGGGTCAACCCGAACCCGAAATGGGTCGGGTTCGGGTTGAACAAATCAACCCGTTTTAAAAATCGGGTCGGGTTCGGGTTGACCCAGCAACCCGAAATTGACCCGAAAGTGACATGGAAACTCATATTTGACCCGAAAATCCGAGATTGACCCGATTTTGACCCGAAAATTAGCAATTTTAGGTCAACTTCGGGTCATTCGTGTCGGGTCAAGTTGACCCGGACCCGAATCGGGTCGGGTTCGGGTCCAGAAACCTGACCCTTTTTTAAAAACTGGTCGGGTTCGGGTTGACCCGAACAGTGCCGGGTCAGTTCCGGGTTCGACCCGATCCCCCTGACCCGAATTGACACCCCTAATGACGATTTTCTTAAGAAAAATATTGTTCAACTACTAAGTTACATACACAAAACTCGAACTCATAACCTCTTAGTTGGTAGCCAAATTTCCGAACCAAAAGACCAAAATGAGCTATGTACATTGTAGTGAATTCATCTATTCCAATATCTCATTATTATTCAATCATCCTATCTTATTCTCTCAATATATCCCATGGAATATAGGTCAAGCCTTAGAATTCGACTCCCTCATTTACAATAAGATCCACATCGAGTATCATATGAAAGCTCATTCCGGCAAGCTAGTTTAAAGGATTACCACTATGGCTACAATATATATAGTAGTTGAATTTCCAGTTGGCTTTATTCACCTTCATCATTACTGCGTGGTGCCATTGTAGGCCATCAAGGTATACTCATCTTCTAGCAGCTGGATAAAAGCAAAAATCTATAGACCTCAATGATAGATTTTTATTCAAAAACAAGGCCTTCTTCACTACTTTAGGCGAAGCCTGTATCTCATCACTCTTCAGGCTTGGCTAGAGACTCAAGGCTTCGCTTGTAAGGACTTTCTTAATGTTTTATAAAGCACCTTTTTAGTATAAAAAAAAAATTACTAAAAAAATATATTAAGAAACAGAAAAAAAAAACTTCCCAAATGAAACCTCAATCATTTCACCTCCAGAATCTTCTTCTCATTCTTGTTACAGTTTATTGGGGACTTAGTTGTCATTTCCTTTTTACTAAGGAGACATCATCCTCTTCCTCCTCATCTTCTTGGGACTAATCATCGACTGACTTAAAAGAGGCAACCACCCCAGAATAACATTAAGTTTAAAAAGAGAGATCTGACAGCAATGAGAGATCTGTCCATATCTTTTTTTTAAGCTTAATGTTACTTCATGAAGCTGATTTTACTTCTAAATTCTAGTGCGCAACACTTCTTTGCGCCATCAAACTCTTTGCTATGATCTTTTCATATAAATAGTTATCACACTGAAAGTGAAAAATTCTGCAATTCTTTCACTCTATTCTTCAGAAGAAAAGCCTGTGACGATTTTCCTAGCATGCGTTAGCAATTTACCTTTCAAACAATCCACAGTTCACTCACGTGATCTTCTTCGGTGAATGAAGACAATTTCCAATTGATGCTCATAGTACTCATAGAGCTGCCCGTGAGTTTTGCTTTGTCTCAGTCGAGAAATCATACAGAGTTACCCTGAATCAAATGCCATTATTTCCCTGCATGTTTTTCTGTTTATACGTGATTAAGGTTCAATGCTGAGTCCACATTTTTTTGTGTGTGAGAGATTATTGTGTGCGTACATCTGAATTTCTCTCAATCAACAGTAAAAAAACACAATTACTGTAGCATCTTCGATTTTACTGTAGACAGAGAGAAATCCAAATAGTGAGAACCGTCCAACGTCCGCGAACAATAAAAAGTCGTATTTTATAGAGACACTTCAGAAGAATTTTCAAAACCAGATGCTTTGTTTTATGATTATTTCAGATAATATAGTTCTAATTCCAAAGACAATTAATAAATTTTTGAAAAATAGACATCTTAGAATTAACATAACAAATGTTTGTGTACATGTTATTAATTTTATTAATGATATGATGTTAATTATCATCTTTCAATATTAATGATGTGAAGTACATGACATTTAAAAATCAATATAGAAAGTCGTTCCAAACAAAGTCTTAAACTTATAGACAACATGATTAAAGTTTGGTACCAAGTACAAATATTATTATTATTTTGGAACGGGGTATCCACCCGCTGCTACCCCCGAAAGGGCGCTTGATGACGTGAGTAATCCTCGGCCGACCTAGAAGAGGCACCCACCCCAAAAACCTCTTGGCCCGCACTTGAAGGCCCCGTGGTTTTTCCCATTTTTGGGTTTTCCACGTAAAAACTCTTGGTGTTCACTCTTTCTTTCTGTTTGTGTGTTAAACTTACGTGCAACGCTCGGACGCAAATTTACAAACTCTACCGCCGCGTATTTTCTAACACGCAACAGTTCTAATTCAAAAGACAATTAATAAATTTTTGAAAAATAGACATCTTAGAATTAACATAACAAATGTTTGTGTACATGTTATTAATTTTATTAATGATATGATGTTAATTATCATCTTTCAATATTAATTATATTAAGTACATGTCATTTAAAAATCAATAACAAAGTCGTTCCAAACAAAGTCTTAAACTCATAGACAATAGGATTAAAGTTTGGTATCAAGTACAAATATTATTATTATTTTTTAATGTGGTATCCATTCGCTGCTACCCCCAAAGGGCGCTTGATGGCTTGGCTAATCCTCAGCCGACTTAGAAGAGGCACCCACCCCAGAAACCTCTTGGCCTGCACTTGATTAGGCCCCACTTAAGAGTGGCTGTCCCTTGAGGGGAATCAAGCACAGGTTGGCGATTCCCAACTGCGCTGCCCACCAACCAAGCTAAGCAACGGTGGATAAGTACAAATATTTGATTAGGGCGATTCAATCCTAGGACTAAGGGACTAAACTATTTGGCACTCAAATATCCGAAAAAAAGCGTTTGCTTCGACTTTATAAACGAATTTATGTATTACATGTCATGTGACAATAATATTGAAATTGTCGCTTTGTTGAAAGCTGACAAAAACAACGCTTTTTTAAATTTCAGGCAGGGAGCCATGATGAGGAACTTTTTATCTCTACACACAGCCATGTCTTTCAAGCTTTCCGAACTTGTCCAGCAACAACTCCTCATCTTCTTCCTCTCTTCCACCATAGCCAAATCTCAGGTTATAAATGGCAGCCTGAAGAGCCCAGTTTCAGCCATCTTTGCCTTCGGTGACTCGACTGTTGACACAGGCAACAATAACTACATTGCAACTCCAGTGAAGAGCAACTTCCCACCCTATGGAAGGGATTTCTTCACTCATATTCCAACAGGGAGGTTCACCAATGGAAAACTCATTACTGATTTTGTGGGTAAGTTGAGCTTCCAGTTTATACAGATAACTGTACGTAAGAATAATCTTTTTTGCTTTGATGAGTTGATACATTTGCACGAGCAGCTTCCTACTTAGGCATCAAAGAAGAGCTTCCCCCTTACTTAGACTGGTCTCTTGGGGTAGATGAGCTCATGACTGGTGTCAGTTTTGGATCAGCTGGATCTGGACTTGATCTAATAACAGCTAAAATAAGTGTAAATTCTCTTCTTCTTATGTTTGTTTATTTTGTTTAGAGACAAAGGCTTCGTTTGGGACGGCTTTTTTACTGCTTCTTAATGCAGCTTTCTAGTACAAAAAATTTTATTTTTTATTAAAAAGCTGCTTTAAGAAGCAGTAAGAAAGCCGTCCCAAACGAAGCCTACTACTACTTCTTCAGTTGATGAAATTTGATTTCTAGTTAAGCTAAAGTTCTACAACCTTAATCAGGACGGCTTTCTTACTGCTTCTTAAAACAACTTTCTAGTATAAAGTTTTTAATTTTTTACTAAAAAGTTGCTTTAAGAAGCGGTAAGAAAGCTGTCCCAAACAAAGCCTAAATACATATTTGAGATTAAAGTACTTCTAGTAAGCTTAAATTCTTCATACGTAAATGCTGAATTTATAAAAAGAAAATCATCTCAAGCTGTGGCATTAATGCTTAGCATAACTCACAGGCTGTAATTCCAGTTCTAGACCAACTGGATTATTTCAGAAACTATATGGACAGGCTTGATCAAATGATTGGAATGAATAAAAGAGAAGATCTCATAAAAAGAGCAGTCTTTGTTCTTAGTGCTGGCACAAATGACTTCATTTCTTATTCAACTGTTCCCCTTACCAGGGAAGTATTTTCTGTAGAAGGTTATCAAGGCTTCCTTCTTGATAAAGTTAAGGAATTTATCCAGGTTTGTTTCTCTAGTTTTTAGTGTGAAAAGGATACAAAATGCATTGGAAATGCAAAAAAATTTAATTTAGTTCATTTTGTCATTAAAACTTGGTAACTCTGAAGCACATACTACCCATAATTATGATCTAGATGAACAATTTTTCTAAATACTGGCACTAATTTTTAACTCTGAAGAAAAACAGGTTTGATTTTTGAAACAAAATTCTATTTATTTCAATATATTTCTGCTTGTTTATAGCTTTAGTATTCGAGTTATCAGATCTGATTGTAAAAAGTTCATTTTTATCATAGTTTTTCTGAAAAAAAGTTATAGCCAAAAATATTGGAAGATTTATAAAATTTAGACCAGATTAATGCATAAGCATGGGAATGAAATGATTCATTGTTACTAATATTACAGGCTTTATACAATTTAGGGGCAAATAGAATTGTGGTTTCCGGCCTTCCACCAATGGGCTGTCTTCCCATTGTTATTACTCTCAAATCCAGAGATGGAATCCATGACAGAGGATGTATAAGTTCTTTCAATTCCATAGCTCTTGACTATAACCTGAAGCTTCAAGCCATCCTGCAGGAATATTCTTCTTCAACTGAGCTTCAGATATTTTATGTGGATTCATACAAACCTCTCATTGACATTATAACAAGCCCAGCTTCATATGGTAATTCCTTATCTTCTTCTCCCTTGTGATGATATAGATATAATACTATCTATAATCTACTTGCAACAGAGTATTTTGTTTTTTGTTTTTGGGAAATTTACATACATACCACTTTATTTCATGCTATTTACATATCTATCACCTAAAACCTTAATATTACATGCATACCACTCATTTAAAACTTTAATATCAAATATATCACTCTTATAATTCATTTCTACCATTCATACCTTCCTAAGAACTTTAATATTTCATTTCATGCACCCAAATTTGTTCTATGGGTGGTAGACATGTAATATTATTTTTTTGGGTGTTAGATATGTAAATAGCATAAAATAAAGTGGTATATATGTAAATCCCCCCGTTTTTTTTGGAACGAGGGTTTCTACCCGCAGCCACTTCAAAGGAAGTGCATAACGGCATAACTAATCCCTAGGCGGAACCTAGCGAGGTCACCCACCGGCATCGGGCCCACATTTACTTTGCCCTCCTGAAGAGGCGAGGCGGTAGTAAGGTCATTCGAACTCGGGATGGGGGGTTCACAACCTTGTTCGCCCCCCAACTACCCTAAGCCACGGTGGGTCAATAGAAATTATTAAGCTTTCAAGAATGCTTTCTCAAATTTTTTTGAAAATATTAAACGGTATGAATTATTAAGTAGGAAATCTTATAAGGGCTTATTTGGTTGCTTAAAAAATGATGAGTTATTATATTTAGCCATTTGGTTGGATGCCATAAAAATAACAATATTGAATTTTTAAGCACAAACACTTTCAAAAGCCATCAAATAAAGTGATTGTTTACTCACTTATGCTCTGTCATAAAAAATTATGCTTGTTCTTCATCATCATAATCTTCATGACCTTTTCAAATAAGAAAAAAAAATTACGTTAGAATATTCTGATGTAACTTATGTTAAGTTGTGCTTGAATACTTTTAGATTTGCGCTGAGATTAATGTAATTTATGATATCATATATAAGTACTAATCTCGATATAAATCTGAGGTTAATTAGGCCCATCACAACATAAATTATATCAGGATATTCTTACTTAATTTTTTTTCTTTATATAAACTAGGATTCATGATATCATCCGAAGGATGTTGCGGAACCGGATTAGTCGAGGCAGCAGTGCTCTGCAATCTGAAATCTCTTGTATGTCTTGATGCGTCAAAATATATCTTTTGGGACTCTATTCATCCTACAGAGAAGGCTTACTTCATCATCTTTAATAGCTTCAAGCCAGTGATAGAACATGTACTCAACAGCTATTAGTATTTTTTTTGCTGTTTCACTTGTAACTTTCCACAATTTCTCACTGTACTACCAGAGTAGCCGGTCCTGGAAATTTTGTTCAAGTGATACACTGTCAAGATCATTTTATCATAAATTATATCAGAACATACTCAATGATTATGGTGAAGAGACAAAGGAGTGCAAGTTTGCATTAGGCTCCAATTGGGAAAATTTGTTTCTTGACTTTCTGATACACCCACCGAGGTTTAGGGTAGTTGGTGGGCGAGCACGGTTGCGAACCCTCCATCCTGGGTTCGAATCCCCTCTACTACGGCCTCGCCTCTTTAGCGGGGCAAAGCAAGTGTGGGCCTGATGCCCGTGGGGGGCCTCTCTAGGTTCCCACGAGGGATTAGTTACGCCGCCAAACGTTCTCTTTGAAATGGCAGCAGGTAGATACCTCCGTTCCAAAAAAAAAAAACTTTCTGATACAAATTGTATCAAGATGGGATTAGAAATTCATTGGATTTTCTTGAGTGTAGTGCTGCATATAATGAATTTTTAAACCCATCTGATACAAATTTTATTCCTGAACTTTTTCAAGGAAGTCAGTGTACTATTTGAAGAAGCCGTAACAATGTAAAGATCAGTGAAGTAAGCATGATAGCAACGTGTACCCACTGATGAAGTGAATGCAGCAGAAGGTGGAAGAAGATTGGAAATAGATGAGTAAAGATATATGGGATAATATAGGACCGAAAATGCAGAGAAAGAAGATAGTTTGAGAGAACAGTGGAATTTAGAGATCCTTCTTACAATTCAATACAACAATACATCGGTTTTTATATATGGAAGATGTGCCAGAGGCAGATTACTTTTCCTATGAATGGTGATGATGAAATGGGCTGTTGGGATACTTTTGCTGAGCTTGCATTACAAATTAAGGTTTTATTTGGGATAATTTTTTTATTATTTTACATTTCAGATTGCAATTAGGGGTGTCAATTCGTATCAACGGGTCGGGTTAGGGTCGAACATGGGATTGATCCGGCACTGTTCGGATCCACCCGAACGTCAAGTTACCGGACCCGATTCAGGTCCGGGTCAACCCGACCCGACACGAATGACCCGAAGTTGACCTAAAAATATAGTTTTTGTGTAAAAATTCGGGCCAATCTTCTATTTTCGAGGATTGAGGATGCCCAACTTCCTGGAAAATAGATTGATGTTGTAGTCCCAACTTCCTAGAAAATAGAGTGATGTTGTACGTTCCAAAGTACGAGAAATTATTCTATGGGGAATCCAAACGGTAAGAGCAGTCTGGATAATGTAAGTATACATACTGTGTACATACATTGTGTACAACATTTTAATACAAACTATGTATAAATGTGCACGCAGTGTGTGCACTCACATGTCCGGTCGGTTCTTCTTGTCCGGGCTCCACACAGAATAATTTCTCTCCGAGTACAATGGTGGAAATCTGGTAAAGGTATGCATTAATGTACTTCCAAGTTCCAATTAAACGACTTTTGAAATTCTTGATTACTATTGAGAAGGATCATCATGAGAAATATTAATAGTTTGATCAATATTAATAAAATTAAGAGTCTGTTTGGGATGACTACAATATTTTATATAGTCGATTATGAATTTGTAAAAAAAATAATTTAGTTATTCTCATTATAATATTTTTCACTATAAAAATTTAAAAAAATAGTAAAAAATCAGTAAAAAAAATAGTAGCTAAATGAAATTATAATTGTTCCCAAATAAATCCTAAGACTTATGATGATTCTATTTATGAATTTATATACTCCCAAATAACTTATTTCTTCTTTAAAATCATTATAACACATAAAGCTTAAAAATATATAAGACATATAGTTCCAAAATATATAATTAAAAAAAAAAACCTAAATAATTAACACATCATATGATGTATATTATAAAAACATAAATCATATTCTATTATATATAATATAAAAAATACAATCGTATCATGTCAATCATTGAAGAGACCACTTTACATTGCGCCACAACAAATGGTTAATGACGTTGGCTTCAACACAATGCCGCCGAGCCCTCTTCATTTTCTCCACCTCTCCTCACCATCAGCAACCTCAACACATCACCAAGCTCCTCCGCTCCTGCACCGCCGTCTCCGACCTCCATCGCATCCATGCCGCCATGATCAAAACGGGCATCGACCTCCTCCCCTTCCCCGCCGCCAAGCTCCTCGCTTCTGCCGCCCTTCTCGATTTCGACCACGCGTTCTCTCTCTTCCGCCTTCTCCCTTCCCCGACGCTTTTCTCCTTCAACTCCATTCTCCGAGCTCACTCTCTTGCCCCAGACCCGAACCTCCAGGAGACCCTTTCCATCTTCAATTCAATAAGAGCCCGAGCCCTCTCGCTCGACCAGTTCTCATTCATCACCGCCCTCAAAGTCTGTAGTCGCATACTGGCCATCGCCACCGGGGAACAGCTGCATTGTTTGGTAGCCAAGGCCGGTTTCGACTACTTTCTCAATCTAAGGAATATGCTTTTGCATTTTTACTGTGTGTGTGGAAGGGTTGCGGATGCACAGCAGCTGTTTGATCAATTGCCTCATATAAAAGATGCGGTTTCTTTCAGTACCCTAATGGGAGGCTATCTCCGGATTTCACAGCCGGGGAAAGTTGTCGCCTTTTTAAGGGATATGTTTTATTGTAGCATGGAATTGAGTCCAGCCATCATTGTCACCGCTTTCTCAGCATTTATAGATGGTAATTACAGCGGCGAACCCCTTCATGGTTACTGCGTCAAGTCTGGGCTTAGCACCGAGCCTAATGTGTCGACTGCAGTTGCAACTATGTATACAAAGGATGGAATGATGGAACTCGCACGAAAAGTGTTCGATGAGATGACGAACAGAGACGTTGTTATTTATAATTGCATTATGGATGGGTATGCTAAAGAAGGTTCATTGGACGACTGCTTAGTTCTGTTGCAGAAGATGAAAGGTGATGGAGTTAATTCAAATGCTGCAACGCTTCTTGGTCCACTTGCAGCCTGTGCTTCCTCTGGAGCATTGAGTATTGGTCGGCATATCCATGGCTATGCAAAGGAGGAGAAGTTGGAAATTCAAGCTTCTCTGGGAACAGCTCTGGTGGATATGTATGTAAAGAATGGCTGTCTTGAGGAAGCAATCTTAGTTTTCAACCAAATGCAGGATAGAGATGTCAAAGCCTGGACAGCCATGATCATGGGCTTTGCAGTTCATGGCAGGTCAGAGGAAGCTCTGCGGCTGTTTGATGAAATGGAAGAGAGTGGGGTAAGGCCTAATGAGGTCACCTTACTTGCTGTTCTCTCTGCTTGCAGCCATGGGGGACTACTAGGCTTAGGAAAAGATTACTTCAAGAGAGTTGTTCTAGAGTACAGGCTATGTCCTGGGATTAAGCATTATGGATGCATTATTGACTTATTGGGTAGGGCAGGGTTTTTGCAAGAAGCTTATGAGCTGGTGAAAAGCTTACCTTATGGAGGAGATGCCATGGCTTGGCGAGCTTTGCTTGCAGCATCTAGGGTTCATGGAGAAATAAGGATAGGGAAGCTGGCCAGAGAAACTTTAGCGGCAATGGGGGAGGAACACCCAACTGATAGCATCCTTCTATCAAGCAGTTACGCCTATGCAGGAAGATGGGAAGAAGCCAGAAAAGTTATGGATTTGGAGTTGGTGGGGGAAGAGACTATGAGCAAGGTTGCAGGATGCAGCTCCATTGAGATGGCTGGTTTTTAGAGTTGACGATGAAGATTTTTTCTGTGGAAATGGCAGAAGCTGAAGCCTCCATTTGGGGCAGAGAATTGAGGTTAGATTAGTTTTAAATTGAATTTATTTGCTGATAAAGAATAATTTAATTAAATTTATAATTCATTAATTTGAAGTAAATATTAATTCATAGCATAATTTGATTTCGTCTAGGGCATGACTTTTGTTCAAAGGATTGCAGCTTAACTTGTAATACTTTTAGCTATTTCCTGAAGAAAATTATTTGGTTAAGAACGATTTGAAAGAGATGGCTCTCAAAATTTAGAGCTAGAAACTGAGTCAAAAAGCCTAAGAATTTTTTGTTTGGTTCAGACCAATTCTTGTTTATTGTGTGTGAACATTACAGTCCTGTGATACAGAGAAAAATATTTGTATTGCATCATAGGCATTCATAGCTTAGTAAACTTGTGGCATAAATGTTCTTAGTAGTATTTTTTGGATGTAAGACAGTAAGTGTACTGTGATGAAAAGTCTGGCATGCCATATCTATATGCATGTCCATGTCGATCTATCATAATCTGTTAATTAATTTGTTAATTAATAATTTGTCAATCAAATATTAGTTGTATTTATTTGAATTTATTAATTTGCTGGACTCGTTCTTGTCTTGTGGTTGCCGGTGGATTTGAGCAAGAACCAAAAGAGCAGAGGTTTTATTGATAGAAGATAGGTGGAAGATTGATCAGGTTATATCTCTCTATGCTTATTTCTTTAAGAATTTATTTCAGTTTTAATGATAAACCTAGATCTACAACTTGTTTAGGGATTTTGTAACCTTTG